ATATGATACTGGACTATGTTATTTGGATTATCTCTTAACTGAAAGACATTGATGACCGACTGGTATGACTTGGACTGTTTGATGGACTCTGATACCTCTATTTCCACGAAAGTAAAAGCCTATTTAAACTGCAGTGTCTCTGTATGCTGGTTTGTGTGTTCTCCAACACAACTCTAAGAACGCTTCTCTGAACGTACTCGCTCTCCCAACAGGGAGTTTACATAACAAGAATCTCTAGTCAAAGATATATGGAGATGCCAGATTGAATGACTTTATAATAGAATCAATAAGTATTTCAGAAACACTAAGTAGCCCTGGCAATTTTCTGAACATTGAGTGCTTCATAAGGATTGAGGGAATCAATCCTTGTGAAGCAGGGATCTAGTATAATCAAAATGCACGGGCTTCCATTATTTCCAAACAGCTGTAGAGCAGGGGTGTCAAACTCAAGGCCCAGGGGCCGGATCCAGCCTGCAGGGTACTTAGATCTGGCCTGTGAGGCTGCCCTGGAAACAGCGAAGGACTAGCCTGTGGTGCTTCTGCCAGCAAAATAAAGAGCTTGGGAGGGCCGCAGGCGCCCCGGCAAGAATGACATTGAGTTGGCCACACCCACCCTGTCCACGACCACCCCGGCCCCTGGAGGTCAAACACAACCCTGATGCGGCCCTCAATGAAATTGTTTTGACACCCCTGCTGTAGAGGTTAGACAGTTGACTTCCTATCCGGAAGATACCAGGCTCTGGAAGAATGGGAAGAAACTGCTTTGAAAGAATCGAGATAGATGGGTGCATAGACACCAGCCAATACGAAGTATGGCTTTATGCAACTAGCCAATTAAAGCAGTCTTCATTATGGGCTAACATGTTTAGCAGAAATGATTATTGCAGACCTTGTTCTGTAACAGCAAGGACAAAGATTGCTTTTCTTTTCTTTTTATTTATTTCCTCTTCCCATTTCTGCTTAGCTGCACAACTTTCCAGGAATCGTATAAACATGCCAGAGTCAAGGTCATTTCCAAAGCGTTCCACAGAGCCACACATAAAACACATAGATCTCTCTTCTTAACAATTAATCTGAGCCAGTGACTTTTACAGCTGATTTATTGCCCAATTGGGTTTTAAGTCTGCCACTATCTTAAAAGAACTTCTCCCATCATTTCTGACCATTAAGCTCCGTTATATCTTCCCTTGGAATGAATGTGCAATTACCGGAGTGGTAGATATATTCTGGAATCCATTCTCAATTTGCTCAGGTACTGTCTGAAAATTTAGGAGGTGCCTTACCTGAAGGAAACATGGTCCAGAATCCTAGGTAATATACCAATGTTTCAAAACCAACTTTTCCAAGACTGTTTTTTTTAAAAAAAAAAAAAAAATCAGTCTTCAGAAAAATGCCATGGAAACCTTGTCAAAACTACAAGCCCTGTAGTTCAGAAGCCACGGACAATGTTACCCCAAGAGTTTATTTTGAGCTATCAGAAAGTATCAGAGAATGAACTTGAGAATTGTGGAGTCTAAAGACTGAGCAAAACATCAAGCCCTTCATGGCATCGGACCTGGGTACCTGAGAAACCGCCTCCTGCCAATTACCTCCCAAAGACCTATTAGATCCCACAGACTAGGCCTTCTCTGGATTCCATCTGCCAGCCAATGTCGGCTGGCGATCCCCCAGGGGAGAGCCTTCTCTGTTGCAGCTCCGGCCCTCTGGAACGAGTNAGGCCTCAAATATTGCAGACCTGTCTAAATAGTTGTGGAAAGTCTGGTTTATGAGACTAAACTGCCCCTTACTTGACCTAGCCTGCTATTCTTTCTCCTCCAGTTTCTCTGAAGGACATTCTCACAGACTATTATAATAAGACAATAACACAAATTATCTAAGTTATATTCAACTGCTGGAATTTGGATTTATTATGATTATGATTCGTGATGAATGTATCTTTTCTTTTATGTACACTGAGAGTATGTGCATATGCACCAAAGACAAATTACTTATGTATCCAATCACACTTGACCAATAAAGAATTCTCTTCTGTTCTGTTCTATTCTATTCTATTCTATTTCACACATATCCCCCTAAGATACTGCTTATCTGCCTAGTCTCTGGTTCCACTTCCTATCTCTCAAGGACATTCTCACAAACCATTACAGAGTGTTACCTTTTTTAGATAGTGATCTAAATGACTTAAAGAATGTAAAAAGATCTACTATGCTGCAGATTACACTCTATTCCATATTGTATCAATTTATCGATTGTCCAGGACCGCAATCTGAAATAACATTTTGCAGTTAACATATGAATCTGACTATTGTTGACTCAAAAAAAAAATCCTCAATTTTTTTATATTCTGTGAAAACAGCTACAGAACATTTCTTCTGCTTATGCAACATAGTGGCATGATGTGTTACGCAATTCTTCAAATGCGTTTCTTATGAAACTTCAGCTTGTATGCTTATGCTTCATGGAAAGCAGAATTGCAAAAGACCAAAGGAAAAAAAAAATCAGTTGTGTTTGCAATGCTTTAGGCCCGCTTGGAAGTACACCGCCTTGGAATTACAGGATTTACAAAGAAAGAACAGAGGGAATTGGAGCAAGAACGTGCTGTCATGTTGGGAGCAAAGGTATGACGCTTCCTTGTGAGTCGAGAGATGACTTACAGAAGAGGAGATTTTATCCTTAAAGCTTTCCCATTGCCAAAGCCTTTGGGTGGTTTGTTTTTTTTTTCCAACTGGAGGTGAAATGGCAGGTTCAAAGTATGGTAGAGGTTTGAGATTTCAAAAATAAATTGCGGATGAGCAATGTAGCACTCTTCAGACAGAGTTTCTGCATTAAATTCCTTTAAAAAATTTAAAACTAGTACTATCGAATATACTTGGGTATAAGCCAACTCTTGAATTTTTAATCAAAGTATGAAAAATGTACTACCCATAGGTAAAACCAACATACATTTTTTTGTGATATTTTACTTAAAAACCCAAAGATTAGCTTATCTGTGGATGGACTTATCCACAAATATATATAAGAAATATGGTATATTAAAATACTTTTAAAAGTATTACCATATATACTTAAGGATTAGCCCATCCACAGATGTCAAACCTGAATTTTGGAGGTATATTGCACTTGAAATGTTTGGCTTATCCACTAATATATATGGGAGTTCTTAATACGTAAATGTGAGTGGTTGCATAACTATTTTAAAATGTTGCCTTAGTATTGAACATATTTAGAAATCTTACTGTAATTCAGCTTTTTGCCTCGTGAATTTGTACTGCCAGCAATGCATTCACATCAAGACTTAAGAAATAGGGAAGGTGGTGTTTGCATTTCTGTCAAACATTATCTACATAAATGTCTCAAAGCATCCCATCTTCTGAAAGAAATGAGAACAGTGATTATGAGTCGCTAATCATTTCATAAATAGCCACATATCTATTGAAAGCATCAAATTAAATCATGTTAGCATTTAAAGAACCATCATTATACATTATTGTATAATCACTATGAACTTTTTTCTCTCTCTTTTTTGGTGTATTTTTTTTTTACAAAATACTGAAATAGTGTGATTAAAATCTTATTGCAGCCTCCAAAAAAGGAATATGTAAACTACAAAATACTTCAAGAGCAAATCAAAGAAAAACAAGCAGCAAAGAAGAAAGAAAATATGATGGTTTGTGTGAAATATTTTATATAAAAACAAAACGTAAAATCAAGTAAGAAAACTCTAGTATAATGGTTTCCAATAAGACCTGGGCTATGCATTTAGCATAATTCTAACAACAAATTGAAGTCAGTTTCCATTGCATTTGGGAACCATATCTGATTTATGGAAATGTGGTAAATGACCATTTAGAATATTCATGCTCCTATTCCTATTTTGATTAACAGGAAAATAAATCTGATTCTCTGAAGAGGAGAAAAAAAAGAGGGCATGAAGAAAGGTGAGCCAAGATTTCAATCTTATATAAACAAGGTGTAATAAATTAGATTTATTTTTGTATTTGTTTTGGTTGTGCTAATTAAGTTTTTTTCACAGCTAGTGGTAAACAATAATGTAGTTTTGGCATTAAATGACTGAGCCTTTAGCCTCTGTTTTATTTCTTCTTTATGAAGTGTACAGAGAAATAATTAGTGTTTGTTATTGAATGGGACTGGGCAAATATAAAACAGTGGTTCAGTTTCAGAAGCAATAGGAATCTCTTGATAGTTTGAAACTTTCAGGATAAAATGTTGAAACAATTGTTATGAGATATATATATATATATATATATATATATATATATAGAGAGAGAGAGAGAGAGAGAGAGAGAGAGAGAGAACGTACATACATACATACATACATACATACATACATACATACATACATACATACATACATACATATATATATATATATATATATATATATATATA